CTTAGAAAATGATGGTTCCTTATACTCTGAAGAGAAAGTGTGACATTAAAGCTCACCTGTAGCTATAGAGAAACCTTTATCTCTCCACATGACACACATAGAATAGGAAGCCAGATGCACAAAAATGCTTCTGAACTCTCAAAATCTTCAATTTGTTGAATGTTTTCAGCTTGTGATGGAAACTAGCCTTTTTATTCCAGAAAGTTTAATAATTAAGCCACCCTTAAGAATCAGAGAAAATATCAATAGAATGTATTGACATTTTTTGATTTCTAATGTATTGTATAATTGTGTTATAAATTTCATTACTGAATTATGACTGTGATCATAGATTTGCAGCAGACCAGCATGGGAAGGTACTCCTGCTCTGGTAGAACTATTAGTATCTTTGTCAGTGAGCAATGAATAAGCTCACTAGGGCAGGCTGTGCTCTCTTGTTCTGTGTTTGCATTCTGCACTGCATTCTCAAAGCTCAGCTGAGGACCAAAGGTTCTTCAGTGCACCTCTGGCACAAGCAATGCAGATAATCCCATTATCTTCCACCTCACAGTGTTTTTCGTGTTTCTGTCATCATGGAGAAGTATTTAACATAAGGTGGAATTTATCTTGCCTAATTTTATCTCTCTAAATGTCAGAAATCAAGTATAAACTGAGTGCTCAAGGCAACCTGTAGTCAGAGGAGAAAGACAGACTTCTCCACACAGCAATTCTTCCCACCCCGCTGCAGGAATCTGTGTGAACTGCCATGCTCTGACAATTTCTGTCTCTCTTTCCTTCTTTTGAAATAGGACACCAAAGGCCTAAGATTAAAGTGACTGCTCAAAAAATTTATGTATTCCCCTAAAACTCTAGTCTTAAACCTTCTAAAATGGTAAAGGAGCTGTATTCCTCTATTTCTATCTTCCATATCTATTAGTTTTAGAAATATATTAAGTTTCTTAAAATAGATTTCTTTTTCCCTTTATATGGTTTTTGTGTTTGATAATGTAACTCCATCACTATTCTCCATGGCTGGAACAGATGAATAAGAGTTTTTTCTTTAAATAAGAATCCAAAGTGCATTAGGATATTTATTACTGCAAAGCCACATTATCCTAAGTAGCATAATGAATATTATGGCTGGGAATGCTATCAAAACTAATTTTACTCTGGTGTCAATGAAAATTTATTATCGGGAACTTCTTCAGTCACAATGAAAGAAGAGCAGTAAAATGTTAAAGAATGACATTGATCTTCAACAAGTACCCAAACACTTTCCAAAAAACTTAGGGATGTCATTACTGGCTTTCCTCAAAGTTATGGTAGTTACAGAAGATAAATGTTCTGCTTTATTCAAAAGTGAATCCCTTTGTTTTGAAGGCACTAATGCACCACAGTAACTGTATGATGATAAGATCTGTAATAATAGTATAATAATAAAGGCTTGAAGGAGTAAACAAATGCTTTCACATGGGGGTGGGAAACATTGCCATTTTTCTTCTGATTTATGAACTCTAGTGAAAGGCCTGGTCCCATGGAGCTGAATGAAGAGTCCCCAAGGGTTGTTTTACCTCTCTTTGTGTTATTGCTGTAATCAAATCTGACCTTGATATTTAACACTTCAAGAAAATTACAGAAAGGTCTTGCACAGACACTAATTTCAGTTTGACACCTCACTGGCACTTTGTAGATCTTAAAAATTACATTAGGTGTTTATGTTTCAATTATAAGAAAAACTGGAATTCCTTGAACCAAACTACTTGGAATAGGTGTGCAGTGAATGAATATACATACAGTAAAAGAGAAAATATTACATATAAAAAGAGGACACATGATTTATTTTGTTTAAGGTCAAGAAAACAAGCACATATTGAATATATATTAAGTCATTGCATATATTCACAGAATAATACTTGGAACCTGAACAGCATTTGAAGGCTTTAAATTCCATTATTTATTTTAGCTTTCCTATTTTCAATGTTAATTTGGGACATTAGTTGCTTTTGTCCTCAACTTTTTTACTTACAACAGCGTATTTTTAAAGTGAGCAATATTTACTCTTATAATAGTCACTCATATGTTTTAAAAATTTTATTAATAAAACCAGATGTGTAAAAGTCTTGCCAAATTTGCAGACCCATGGGTAATTCACAACACTACAAAGAAGCTTATTCTATTTAATTATTGTGGAAACTGAATCTGGCTTTTGTTTAAGCAATTTTTAAGCACAAGTAAGAGTTATTTATAATACCAGGATGTACCTTTTCTCCTTTGCTTCTATCTTTCTTGCCAGAATATATCTGGATTTTTGAAAGAAGACTAAGAACAGGTTCTGTCTCTTAGAGAATATGTGTACAATTTATGTTATTTTCACTTGAAATGATGGGAGTGCTCAGCAATGCTAGTTTGGATCATCTCCAGTAAAATGAAAAGTTTCCATCAGTTCTCGTGTTTGTTTCTTGCCCAATGTAAACGATGCATTACAAGACTTCAGCCAAGAGCATTTGGGAAGTGCTTTGAGACCCCCAGTGGAAGCCATTCTGACCATGCAAACTACTCTTAAGATAGACTGAAAAGCCAGTTAGATCAGACTAAAATACTCCATGCTTCTATATTGATTCTCTCAACTTTATCTAAGGAATTAAGTATTTAAGACAAAATGTTTGCTTCTCTGCTTGGTTTCCCAGCTGTCTGCTTGCCATGGTGTGTCAGAATGCCATATTCTTTCAGCCACTGAATCTCCACCTGCCTGTGGAGTCATGTTGCTGGCTTCTCAAGGATTTAGGAAGATAGTATGTCTAGCTAAAGAAAAAGCTGAAAATGAGATGATTTGATGCTTGTTGTTGCTCTCTTCTTAAATGTATTTTTTTAAATTGTGATTCCTCTTTCACACAGACAATAAATGCAAACTTTTAACGTTTTCTTTCCATTCGAGGATATTATTACTTGAAGTGAAATTTATCGGATTTCTGGTGGGCTATAGCTAATACTGTATCTTTTATCTTTCTCAGATCCTGATTTTGTGGGAAGCCAATAGAACAATCTTTTAACACAGAATCTTGCACAAGATATTTGAGTATCTTGTTTTCTATTTTTTCTGCCAAAATATATACTTAGTGAAATACAGGACTTTGAAATCCATTTCAGATATCCACTTCAGTGGTAACCTTCAAAATATAAATTTGTGTGAGTTTTATGTCACAAGATTAGTCTCACTTATATTCCACCAGAAATTATTTTTGTATAAGAAAACTTTGAAGGCTGACACAAATGGGGTGATTTTCTGCAATTTTCCAAGCTATTCTTCCAGTGGAAATCACATTTTTCAAGACAGATCCCTGCCTAAGTTTGTTTAAGTTCCCATACATATAAAATGGATCTATGGCTTGGATATCATTGCCTTTCCTACATCCTCCCAAATCTGAAAGGACCTCAGAACTTTAAAAAACAGTGATAACTCAGCATTAGAGCTAACAGAATGAGTTTACCAATTTAGGTTCAGTTGTTCCTATATTTTACCTTGAATGCTGTTTAAGTCACTGCAAGAGTAATTAACTAGGAAGCGGATTTTAAAATATGATCTTGCAGAAGAAAGTGAAAAAGTGGAGAGGATAGCACTTCTAAAGAAATAGACAATCTTTCACAGACTAAGTATTTATTATTATAATTATTATTATAATAAATACTTAGTTATATTATTGTAATAACAGTAGCAAATAAGACTGTGTAAGGAAGACTATGTAAACAAATGTATGAGAAAGGAGCAGAAAGAGAGATATTTCACAGCGAAATGTCATTCACACCAATACAAATGGTAGTTAACTTACATTTAAAAGCAGATGTGTTCAGAAAAGAGGAATGAAGTTGAATATGGCACCACTTTTCAAATGTTAGCCATAGTTATTGATTCCCTTTAACTCATCTTTTTTTTTCTGTGGATGTCTATATTAAAAGCATATTTTAGCTGCTCATTACAAAAAAACATTAAAAATACTGGTGACACTAACCCTAAATTGAGGTTAGGTGTATCTATATTTGAATGCTAAAAGAAGTCAATAGTGAAAATTGATTGTTTTAGAAAATACACAAGCAACAAAAGTACACAAGGTCATTCTATTAGAGTGTCATAATTTCTACAAGAATACATTTCATGAGGAACACAAAATAATCATGACAGCACATAAAAACATCATGGTAGAGTAGGAGGTGTAGTTGTACAATGATGTCAGAAAAAAGAAAATGTGCTGATTCACTGGCTGTCTTTCCTAAAGGGATTAAGAAGTCAGTTTGCCTGAAACAGTAACAGCAGTCTTTTATTCTTTCTTTCTTAAAAACTGAGCTAAATGTCATCTGGTGATTCTCATAAGGTTTGAAGTTTAATTAAAATTCACAAATACTACATACCTAATCCAAACTGGGAGCCCAGATCATATTAGAAAACATTCTATAATTTTAAAATGTTTTTGACCACCTCCTAGTTGAAGCCGCTTCAGACCCCATCTGAAAACTGATACAAACTTCTGTGCATGCACATCTTCACAAACTGTCCTAAGTTCAAAGGGAATGGTTTAAGCAATCTCTTTTTTGAGAAGTATTTTATGGGACAGACCACCAGAGGGAAGTACTGAACACTCTTAAGAGACAGCATTTGAGCAAGTTTTCATTCTTGAATGAAATGCCATATGGCTGGGGGGTGGGATTTGCATCTCTGAGGAAGCTGTGACAAGTGGCAACATTTATTTTTTGCCTTAATCTTTCTGTGGCTTCAATTTTTAAAACAGACTTTTCTTCTGAAGAGGAAGTTTAGATTTTCAGTCCCAAGAAGGAGATAAAATGTTACTTCTGAACACCTTTGCTGCTGTTCATATTTGCCTGGACTCTGTGCAACATATTTCTAGATCAACAATAAAATAACCTCTTGGTCTTGATAGGCTAACATTTTAAGAAAATCAACAATATTTTACACAAGCCTTCCATGAAAATAATTTTTCATTTATTGCCAGAAGAATAGAGATTGAACATATAGGTGAGTCAGGAAGATTCAGCAATCACAGGAATTCAAGCATAATACAGTACAGAGGAGTCCATGTGTGTGTCCATCTGTCAGAGGAGGGGAAGAGCATCTTTGGTCATAGGCTTGCCAAGCTGGTGAAGAGACCTTCAAGCTAAAGTTGCTGAGGAAAGGGAACCTTAATCCATCTCACCCCTACCAGTCTGATGCCAGTGTCAACAAGAGATGCCCAGAACCTGGAGAGGGATTGCAGGTCATCAGGAGAGCACCTGAAGAAAAGCACAAAGAAATTCATGCCACTCCAGCCAGCAAGTTCACTTCATAAGAGTTTGGCTTAAATGCTATCAACCATCAAACACATATGAAATGTGCAATAAACAAGATGAGTTAGAGATACATGGCAGGAGGTGGTTATAACAAGATCATCATCAAGATCTCGTCCAACACAAACTGTTCTATGCCTCTAGGATTCTGTACATCCAAAGGCTGGCAAAAACATCTTTGTAGCTCCTGCAATTTAAAAGTGTGCTTTGCCTGGCAGTGCAATTTAACAGAAAATCTTTCAAGGGTGCAGCAACTTTATTGATCCTAAAAACTTAACAGAAACCACACTATTTAGTCCCGTATGTCAGCAGATGGCACTCTAAAACTGTTGGCATGTACATGTATGACTGCATATATGTATACATACACAATCAAAAAACATGTTTCTTTCCAAATAATGAGGCTTTGGAAAAGTTTAGGATCTAAGATTGTGATGCTATTTTTTCTCCAAAAATATTTGAAACATAAAATCTTTCCATGCAAGATTTTAGAAACATTGTCACATTGGAAGATCTTCCAACAGAAGGGAAATAATATCTATTTCTAATATTTTACTTTGCTTTTACTGTCTTTCCATGTAATAAAGGTCATCTTCCTTGAAAATAAAAGTACATTTACTTATAGACACACAAAAAATTATACATAGATGTGGGTTTTTTTTCAAATGCCGCGATGGAATATCTGCTCAAAATTTGCCATGGACTCCAAAAAGTATTTAACTTGTTAAGGCTGTATTAAGAAGAGGAAAGAGAGGAAATATGGAATCCATTGCAGTCTTCTTTGCATATGCAAGAAATATGATAATAGCATTATATGAATTCTGTCACCTCCTTTTGAAGTTTTGTCAAGTTTTATTTTCTCTTATATAGAAGGAGAAAGAAAAATAATTAGTAGATTTTATAAATTATTGAAGCTGGAGAAATCTGAGAGAAGAACAATAATTATTCAAGCAAGAAGCAACAGTAGTGGGAAGAGAACAATACCACTTGAGAATAAATTGTAACTGGATGCCGAATTACACTACTATTTTTGACCATAGTGGGTGGTTTTGCTTGAATAAGGACTATAGTGTTAAAGCCAAATATACATGCAATACATATGTTTGAACAACCAAAACTCCTGAGACTCTGGAGTACAGTCTGTAACTGGAGGACCAGACCTAACTTCCTTTGTAATATAAACAGTCCTGGAAGAGAAATGGCCAGCTCTTATAGTAGCTGTGCTAATGCCAAAAAATAAAATAACCTCTGTGATGACAAGGAGAAAAGTTTTTTGGTTATTCCTGTTTTCAGGAATTTCTGACTAACCAAAGAGGCTCTAGCAGCCTGTCTTGAAGTACTGAAGACCAAATTCGCCAAGATAATATTCCTAAATTTTTCTGCAGTCCCGAACAATGACTCTAGCTACATCAGTTTAGTTGTCTCTAATCCCAGAGGTGCCCACCTGATAGATTTGTAGCTCTTCCTCAGTATTGACTTAAATGAAAATCTTGATGCATAAGGCATGGCTGGGCCTGGTACTTCTCCCTCTGTGTTTCTAGAAGGGAATGGCTTGGCAAGATTTCTCCTAGCACCTTTAAGCACACCCCAATAAGGACAACTAAATGACAAGTTTAAGTTTTGCTGCTGTCTCATCTTTTATCACTGTGGTTGCTGGAATACCCATAACAAAATGAGAAATTTTATTTTTGGAGGACAAAAGCACAACGATAAAAATATTTCAATGTTCCATGTAACCTCCACTACGAGTGTCTGGGTTTATCTGGGAAGACAGTTAGAAATAGAAAAATTCTGGAGGATGTTATGATAAAACCAAGCTGTAGAGTAATAACAAAATGAGGATTAATTGGATTGGAACATTAGAAAAAAAAAATAAGCAGAAAAATTTGTCTTTGGTTCATAGCTTAATGGCTAAGACACTGGCAATAAGACAGCTGAATCCTAATCCTTTTCTAAACAGTCTTTACACAGTGATTGTTCCTTAAATCTTTATAAAGCCTCTGATAAGGACAAGAAATCAATATATTTGCCACTATGGTAAAATACAGAAAAAGCAGTTTAGCTTTGTGTTGCATTTTGTTGAACAACAATAAATATTGCAATGTTTTTCACAGTAAGAGTGCTTCAACAGGAAGAGGTGAAAATGTTTCCTCTTTCTCCCACAGTGCATTGAAGTGTCTATAATGGTTGAGAAACACTAGAAAATACAGGTGTGTATCCTGTTGGGTAGACAGGAGCATGAAATAAGCTTTTTCCTGCTACTAGATGAGAGCTCAGGTTGTATTCCCAGGAGAAGCTGTTTATCTAGCTGTCAACCAAGAAATGTCAACTTGATACTTGATATTTTTTTCAGGAGTCTGTTTTGTGCTCGATACCCTGTATGGTGGCTTGTGAAATAACCTCTGAGCTGCCCAGGGGTGCAGGAGGCAGAACATGTCTGGGCAGTCAGGGACATGCCCCTGCTCTCCAGTAGCAATCTGAGCTGGGCAGGACTTTGTCTCAGCTTTGGGCATAAGCACCAAACTTCATGTCTCACTGGAGTACACTCTTGTCTTCTTTTTTTACTAACATGTGAGACCTTGGTTGAAGAATTCTGGGGACTGAGGGTCTCATCCAAATCTTTGGCAATTAAAAGTCATTGACAGCAGTGAGTTTTTGATACGGCTCAAGCCACTACAGCTCTTCTAGAATGCATTCCACAGGACATGAAGCATTTGGAAATTGGCTGAGGAAGCCAGAATGGTGAAAATCATGCTTGTGTTCCTATCCTGCAATTATTCCCAAGCCCTATTTTCGATCTCCATGCTGCTTATTTTCAGCGATTCCCCCTAGTGTGCAATTCATCTGGCTTGGCAGCTGCTCTGTGTGCAGTACATTTCAAGAAGGAAGGGGACAGAAGCACAGGCATGTTTCCAAGAAAACAGATAAACTGCTTTGGTGTCACTGACTTGGAAAGTGGGTTAGTCACACTCTCAAACACTGGTATTCCTGATTGGTTTTTCTTGTCCAGAGCAACATATGGCTGTGCTAGCCCACCACTTGGAGTACAATTCAGTGGGTCTTCTCTGAGAGTAGAGCAATGAACTCAGATTTTGAAGTTTACTATTTAAATGATGCAAAGTATTCGACTGTTTTAAGGCAGCATGTAAAGCTGATTTAGGGATTACTGTTATGTCGCTTCTCTTTTTTTAGATATACTAAGTATTTATCTATACATTTAAACCTTTATCCTGTCAGAGAATAGGTAGGCAGATTAGATGACAGAAAACTAACAATTTTCACTCTTTCAAGCACAAAAAGGCATTATTCAATTGACAGTTTTCAGTTAACCTTTCCATACCACAAGCTTGCTAAATTCCCCTCAAACATAATTTTTTTTAGAATTCAGATTTGATTACAAAAACTAACACAGTATAATCAAAACAAAAGATGGCAGATTTATAAGATGATGATATGAAATGTGTGTAGCTGTGGGCTGTGAAGAAAAGGAAGAACATGAATTATAATATTTGGTGGATCTGAAAGTAAAAGGAAGCATTTTCTTTTTACTTGTTAATATTCAGGCATTTGCTTAGCATTTACCTGACAAAAGCTGGCAATTTCTTTGTCCAAAGAAAAGAAGAAAAACTAAAAATCCCAGAGTAATAAAATATGGTATGGTTTACAGTAATATATCACATGCTTGCTAAACTTAGGTGTGTATAATGATTCTATTTAATTTCTTATTCTCTCTTCCTCCCACTACTGATTGAGTTGATTGGTACAAGCTTAAAATGAGAAATTAGTGGCTCAAGGAATCACAGTACTAGGTCTTGAAGACATTTTTTTGAGTTATTTTTATATTGTTGTAACTGCATCAATTTCAGTGAATTACTTCTCATTTACACCGGTGCTTGTTGCACCAGTGATGTTTCAGTCCAGGAATCTTCCCATGCAGAAGGTGCATATTCCATTTTCAAATAAATAATGAATACTCCTGGTTGAAGAAATGTTGTTGTCATGATGAAAAAACCAGCCCTGCTTGAGAATCCAAGTTTGTCCAGTAAATTTGAAGATCAGCAGACACAAGAAAAGGAAACACCTAAGCAACTGTAAAGCAGAAGGAGAAAATTTTTTTGTGAATCTACATTTTTTCCTTTCTCTAAGAGGTCATTCACCCAGAATGAGCACACATTCAGCTGTACTGGAAGCTATGACAGGTAGGTCACTGACTGTGGGATATGAGTTATTATGTTGTTAAAAATTAATGGGTGCCATAGCCACTTTGAGCTATGTGCAATTATTCAACTGCTTGAAATCAGTGGATATGCTGAAAAACTGTAAAAGGCTCACTAGAGAAATTCATGCAGTCCTACACAAATGCTTCCAGCTCTCCCCTCAAAGCTCAATTCCTGAAAAGCCTGTGCTATCTGATCGCAGAATGAATATCACAGTATGCCACACGATAAATCCAGGAAGCACCACTGGATTTTCTTCTTATGTGAATGATCCATGGGGCACAAACTCAGGCCTTTGGTGAGAACAACCCTTCATCTGCCACTACGACCGAAGCCCAACACCCTCCCAGCTTGCCCCTACCCCCGGGCTGTGCTGCACAGCGCTGCTCTGTGTGTTGGCACACAGGTAAGGCTCTCCCAGCCTCCCCTCTGCCAAGCCTGCAGCCCCAGCAGGGTGCAGCCACCCGGGCACATCTCAGTAGCAGCAGCACACTTCCTTTCCTATGCAGGCAGAAAAGAGTGTACCCTACACCAATTTTTTAGAAAGATGGCTCTTAACTACAGTCTATGGGGTTTTTTATTATTTCTCACAAGAAAAATTTTTATTACTTGTCACAAGAAGAGAATACTGCCATTCAGACACATTCTACCATATCAAGAGTCTTCAGTTGCCTTGACAGGATTGTTCACCTGATAGAGGCATCTATGTGTAATGAGCAACCTATCTAG